TTTGTTGTTAACAGCACCCCTCTCCATTAAATTTCACATATTATGCTGTATTCATCTTTCATAGAAAGATAACATTTAGGTATAAGTGCAAAAATAATTTTAATATTGTTTTAATTCCTATTATGAATGCCAATGATTAAAATGCTAAATAAAAACTTTTATTTGATAGCTTATCTCAATATTTTCAATGCGATGATTGATTTTGGTGCTTACTGGCTAAAGCTCTTATTCTAGATTCCATGCTGCTTGGAAGGAATTGTAGATCTTCTCGTTTTGTAATTTGCAGCTGGTTTCTTTGTTTAATAAGAATCTGTGTAACTGCGTTGAAACCACATTCAGCCATATGGGAAGTTGGGAAAGCAATAAAGAAAAGTTTGATAGCTTCCCACAGCTTTAGATAACCTTTCAAAAATTTACTTTTCTAGCGAATATTGAATAATTTTTGAAAATTTGAAAAAAAAAATATGGATATATAGCATCATTCCTTACACTATTTATATTGTTCAGAATATTGTCCTCATCTTTATTGCCATATTCACACTGTTTCAGCTGTTGTACACTCTGGCCTTTTTCAGGTGATATTTGTTTGAATTTCAGACTGAACCCAGAATAGTCAGTTTGTATGTTGGTGTTTCTGAAGAAGGCCGGAGTGTACAATGGCCAAAATGTTGTGAATATGGCAACAAAGATGAGGACAACAGTCTGAACAATGTAAATAGCATAAATAGTTACACTCATCGTTAATCTCAGAAATATAAACAGATCATCATTCTTGTTTACAGCTGACTCATGACACTGTCTAGGTTGTTACACTTGTCAGCTAGAATTTATGCATTGTTTCAAGGATTTCTCCAGAACAACTGTTGCTGTTTGAGCAGCTCAAGTATGACTCAAGTGGCTCCACCTGGTGGATAGCTTATGATGTAGTTAGAGGTAGGTGGAAAAAAAAAAAGGAAAAGAAAGAAACAGATGTTTAAACAAACAAATGTACAAAATGAAGTTTTAATTTGGTGATAATCACTGAAGGAAAATAAATGCTTAAAATTAACTTTAAGTCTTTATTTTCTTTTCATATGAAATGCTTTTAATATTATTGTTCAATGATTCAGATGACTTTAATACACTACCTTTAAAAATAATTACCTGCCATAAAGCTATGGTTTTCAGGCCATTGCTAGTATATTTGATCCTCTGTTGTGAGTGCTCTAGGGTTGTGGCCTTGTGTTGGTGAATGTTTATTTTAATCAGTATCTACAATATGGAGGAACAGTGGAGTAATGGATAGCAGCTTGAATTGAGGAATTAATGAGCTGAGTTTGAATTCCAGTCTAGTTCATTACATTCACTTATGTGCTAATACATTTGGAAAAGGTATGAATCCAACTCTTTTCTCTCTAGCTATGCGTAAATTGTAGGGCAGACTGGGTTTTATAGCCTTGGGTGGCAACCAGTCTTGGAAAAAGAAGACTCTGAATTCAAAACTATGTAGCCCTGGCAAAGCACATAGTATGCAGCTAAGGAAAGGATATTGTTCACATTGACTTTCTGATCCTGATTACAGTCAATGACAATATCTTTCACAAGGGCATTCACATTTTTTTTTAGTTATGTGTTTTTGTTCAAATTGAAAAAATGTCAGAAGAAAGTCAGAAATATATTTGATAATATATAAGCAAACAATATTCTCCCTTGAGTCTTTGATGATATACTTTAAACATATACAAAGATATCTATGGATTTTGTAGTGAGTAATAAAAAAAAATGTAAGAATTAAGGAATTAGAAGCAAATGTAGTCATCTCTCTGTATTCACAGGGGAATTGGTTCCAAACTTCAGATACTAAAATATCATATATAAAATGGTATACTGTTTGCATATAACCTAGATACATCATCCTATATTCTTTAAATCATATCTGTATTACTTATATTACCTAATATAATATAAATGCTATATAAATAGTTGTTATATAGTATGAACAAAAAAACTTTGGTATGAAATTGCCACCTGTTAAGGAACAATAGAAAAAATGAATTTGTATCAAAGTAAATTTCATTAACAGAATCTTTGTGCTCTAAAGAGAAAATTCTACAATGAAAATTATTTGTATACATTTTGTCATCATGGATGTCTGTCCTTCAGTTATGAAGAAGATTTTGTCTTCATCAGTGGATCCAGAGGTGGCTCCACAAACCAAGTCGGGACAAACAGTCTGGTGCAGTGACCAATGCCAAAGTTACATGGTGGCACTGTTCTCTTTGAGTAGTGTTTTGTTTTGTTTTGTTTTTTTGTTTTTTTTGTGCTGAATGTCTTGAAAGTTTGCAGAGATTTGCTGGACAGTGACATGCCAACACAAGCAATTAGAACACACTCTTCTAACTCCTTTGGTTTGATCTGTAGGACTAAAGTGAAAAGTTTACCTGTAAGCAAATTTTTTTTTAATAATTTGCTTTAAAAACTTTTTAGGCAAAAATCTCAATTTAAAAAAAATGTAGTAAAAATCAATTGTTGGATTTTAATAAAAGTCTGGTAATTATTTAATAAATTTTTTTTTTTTTTTTGAGAACTTTCTATTCCAAATCTAAACAATAGAGTGCAGATAAGTAGCAATTAAACAAGTTGTAAGTCGAGCAATGTTCAGTGTTTTTTTTGTTTGTTTTTTTTTTTAAATTTTTCTTGATTTAAAATATTTTTTTTTTCTAAATATTTTCAATCTGTCATTGGATTAATCTATAGATGTAAAAATACAAAAGGTTGAATGTAACTGTTATCTTCTGTTTGAGATATGGGATTGTTGAACAAGGAAGAATTAACAAGAGATAGATTCAGATATAGATAATCTGTTGATGCAGATTGAATAATGGGTTCTGTTTAAAATTCTTTAACAGTTACTAAATACTATAGTCACTTGAAGAAGACCATAGTGTACAATGATCAAAACATTGTGATTATAACAATCAAGATGAGGATATTAATCCAAACAGATGAATGGATAATAATGCAGATAGCTTTTTGGAGAGAAAAATATTTTGTTAAAGGAAAAATATTTAAAAAAAAATATTATCCCTGTTTTATGAATGACAATATTATTCCAGGTATTTGAGCTACTATCCTCATCTTTGTTGTTTTTATGATCACAACTTCAAGGTAGAAATGACTAAACTTATGGAATAATGACTGGTAATTTACAGAATTTCAGAACAAACTCATTATTAAATCACTATTTAAAGCCTGGAAAATAGTCAAGGTCTAAGGAAGATTGAAATTTGGGGAGAATGAAAGAGAATATTGCAGAAAGAATAAATTTCAAAAAACATTCAAACTTAATAAAAGATAATGAATTAGTTTGTATAATCCTTGGAAAGCAGAAAAATAAAAACAGAATTAAAAAAAGGTTCCAGATTTCTTGCATATTGACATCAGTAAATTGATTGAATAATTTTGATCTTTGAATTTAGTTGAAATTAATTGATATTTTAATGTCTGATCAACAACATTTTTAGAATTCAAAATGAATAAAGATTATTAAAAATATTATTTATGTGTTTAAAACTAAAAAACATATCAGTTTTTTTTTGTTTTTTTTTTTTATTTTGATTTGTCTTAATCTTGCTTTTTATTATTTCATATTCATATTTTGTGAGCACTTGGTTAGGAAGCAGGCCCTAAGGGAGTTCACATGCTCCCATAGTTGGGAACCCAACCATAGAGTCCGGGTCCCTGCTTCTAGCCCACTGTACCTCTCCCTCAATACATAATGGCCCTTTTGTGTCTTTGCCCTGGCATAAATCATGTGTCTTTAAGTCCTATATTGATATGCAAGAATAAAAAAAACAAACAAATAAAATAAAATAAACTCTATAAAGATGAGTGTTAGCCAGCTAGTCATAGACTTTTGCTTGGATGGTGAGTTTGACATTCACTGGGTGTCCTACTATAATTGTATTATATCAAGTTAAGAACTTGGTAAATATTTATGTGACTGTCTACTGTCATGTGATAACAAGTGAGTTTAACAGACTGCTTAGTGTAAGAAATTCAGACAGACTTTTTTTTTTTTATCAAACTAAGTTATCTAAAAGGTGCCTGGTTCCATATCCATTGCATACCAGTTTAAAGTTTTATATATTGAAAGGAGTGATTGTAAATAAAGCATAAATTATGAAAATATCTCTCTAGTATGGTAATGAGTTGTGACAGATAACAGAATTTAAGCAATTCTTCTCCAAATTGTTATCAGATTGGCTGACTCCAACTGATAGTTGCTTATCAGACCTGTAATCAAAGAATATTCTTGGAAATATATGATCTTATATTTTGACTGAAGTTCAGAAGACATCAATATATTTTGAAAACTTCAGTTTTATTGCTTTTAACAGTTTTTAGCTGATATGTTATTTAACATGAAATTTTGAGATGAATTATTTGAACGAGTGACCAGCAGGTCCCCTTATTTAATTCATTAATGATAATCAGATTCAATGTGGTTTATCCTAATTTTTAGTTGATCTGAATTATATATACTGTTAGCTTTGCACTGTAAATGTGATAAAATATAGTTGATCTTTCTGGAAAGGTATTGTATGTATGAGAGACTTCCAAAGCTCCTTGAAGTTAACTAAACACATTTGATGTTACTTGAAGGAAGTAGGATAGCATACTAGTCAAATTAACCAAGGTGAGAATAGTAACTGAAATAAATCTGGAATTATGACAATACTTTATTTTAGAAGTTTAAGTAAATTCTGTTTGTTTTTTTAAGTACTGTTTTTATTGATTTACTTCTCTATTGAAAAAGGAAACATTTTTTTTGCTATTGTTTAGGAACAAGTCTTTGAAATGAAAGCATTAATAAGGAATCTTTTTCAGTTGATGCTTGCTTTATTCAAGATCATTTCTAGTCTTCATTAATTTATCTGACACAAATCTACAGAGAAACAAAATTAATACTTTAAGTTTTTCATTTCTAATTTCATTTGTTTCATTTTTTTTTCTTTTAGCAATGTAAAGGCAGATATCAACGGGCAATATTATATGTTTCTGGAGATGCATTACGTGTGGTAGATGAAATAAGTAAGGTAAGTATATTTAAGACATTTTGAATTCTTACTCTTTAAATAGACAAATAAAAAAAAAAAACTGATATGATTTTGTTTTATGATATTAAAACTTAAAAATAGACAAATTTTGTTGAAATTTGTTGGCCTCATATGCAAATAGACAAAAAAAAAAAATAGGAATAAAAGTCACTGCTATAATATTCTCCAGAAGTATAAAAGAAAATTGAAAGTTTATTTTTAAAATTGAAAAAGTAAAGATTATTTTTTAAAACAATGTTCCTTCAGGATGGAGATGACCATGGCTCTCCACAGATTCCTTTACTTTATTAAGTGTGAATTGCTGTGACTTTTTGGATAGGGGAGTGGTTTCTTCTGTGTTTTTTTTTTTTTTTTTTTTTTTTTTTGTGATTTGGAATTCCGAGTTTTCCTTTTCTTAGACAGGTTGCACCCAAGACTGGAGAGGCCATTCTATCCTGCTATTGAACCCATAGCCAAATTCATGTCTTTCCCAAGGGCATTAGTCTGAAAGTGAATGCAACAAACTAAGCTAGAATTTGAACTTGGCTCACTGATTCCAATTTCTGCGCCTATATCCATCACACTACCTGCACATTCACATTAGAAAACTATTCTGATAAACTTTCCTCTTTGGTACCTAGACTTTATGAATTTAAGCGTAGTACTAGATTAGCGGCAAGATTGCATCCTTTTACAGTTGAAATGACTAGATGTAACCATAAGTTCTATGCTAACAGTTTCTTCTCTCACACTTCATCTTGTGGAACTTTTTTCCAGCATCTTGCTTTCCAGTCAACTTTGATGTTCAAAAATTTAAATGTAATGTCAATTGCTATCTTTCTTCTTCTTCTAATCATCATCATCTTCTTCTTCTCCTCCTCCTCTCCTTAATAATATTTTTTCTCAAATTCTCTCACACTCAGTGTCCCTTGCATGTTAGTAATTTTATTGCCTTACTTGAGGTGAAATGATTTAAAAAAAAAAAAAAGGTTGGAGGGAGAATTTTCAGCAGATAGACACACCATCCTCCTTTAGTCCTCAAACCAACATTAGTGTCTTTGAATATAAAGTTAAAAACATCCATTGCTGCCTATTTTTTCGCAATCCATATAATATTGCCATTAATAATTTTTTATCTTTTATACTCAACATTAATTAATTGTACACTTGTCTACTTGCTTTGGTTAACATGATGTTTCAACTTTCATCAGGTCTGAAATAAATGAAATATTGTTGACAGCAAATATTCACAGGTTCTGTTGTAATATTTTTATTAGTAACATTATTATCTTTAACCATTATTATTATTATTATTCATTTTTATTTGTATTTACATTTATCTTTAACTTTTAGTTGCTACCTAAATTATTAGTTAATATTTTTTGTTCTCTCTCTCATTGATAGTGGGTCAGAATGAGAAATCAGAGAGTAGAGTTTGAATACCAGTCAGTTTTGTTGCATTCACTTATGTGTAAATACTCTTGGAAAAGATATGAATCCTCTCAGTTATGTGTGAAATAGCAAGACTTGTATATGGGGAAAAAATCATTGTTATTCTCACAATCCAAGATATGTTTGGCTTTAAATGATACATTTATAAAGTGTAAAAAAAAACAATCACACTCATGAGATTATGACATATATTTTTATATATCAAGAACAGTACTGAGGAAATGATACAATAAAATGGAAAGAGTTTGTGATGTGTTTCATCTGTTAGGACTTCATTGAACTGGGTTTGTTGATATTGTTGTGACTAAATATGTGCATGAACAAGAGATGCTGGTAGTTTCAAAATTTTTTTTTAAAATAAGTTTTTGCAATCTAGCCAAATTCATCTATATTCTTTCCATCATCTGTGGCTGAACAAGCAATTAAAGCACTTTCTAGACATTTATGTTTTAGTGAATTATTTTCACTTTCAATTAGAGTAGCATTTTTTATGTCAAAATTCTGGTCAGTTTCATTATGGTGAACAAGCAATGTGTTTTGTGTGTTGTTTATATATATATTTAAAATTTAATTGCTGCAAACATCCCTATAGAGGAGTTCAAACTTGCTTTTGAAAATTGAGCAAACTGGAGAAATACCTGCTACTGAGGTATAACTAATTTTGAAAAGAATCATCTTAACCATCTGAGAGAATTAAGAATTAACACTAAATCTCAGGCTAATACATCAGCCCATATGATTTTAGTATGCCCTTCATGTGGATTTGTTTGCAAATTCCATGGAGGATGAAACATAAACATAAAAACTGAACTGAAAGACACCCGTATATCAAAAAACGATGGGAGAGTCCATCATTCATTCATTCATTCATATATATATATATATATATATATATATATATATATATATTTTAATATTTAAATGCTAAAATCTTTTGAGAATACATAGCATTAAAATAAAATACTTTAAATTCTAATATTTATTTATAAATCTATTTATTCTCAGCTGCAAAAGATCATTTTTTCTTTTTTTTTTTTTTTTTCTTTTACTTGTGATATTCTACAAGAGTTTTGAATGAGAGAACTGCCATTATTTTCTGACCCAAATACACTGACAACTTTATCATCCATAACATCCTTCTCAGCATCCATTTCTGGGTCAAAATATCATCTTCAACCAGGAATTCACTAAATACAAGTATTAATTGCTAAAATTGTCAAGAATTTTATTTATATCAACAATGTGATGGATAAAATGATCGTTGTGTGTTATTTTCACCAGAAATATGAAAATGCTAGCTTTCTATTGGTTTATTAGGTCATTTTTAAGTTTTAGGCTGCTGTCAACTTGGTGTAAAATATATATATATATATATATATAGTGTGGAAAAAGTAATACCCTTTTTTATTTATTAACTTTTATTGAAGAAAAATAAATTACAGTAGTTTAAGATAGCTTAAGATTAACTGTAACTTACACATTTGAGAATAGTTAAATCTTAATTTTGAGCTGAGTTGGATAGGATGTTGTGGGACAATTGAGTGGTCATCACAATCACCAGACCTAATACCACCAGACATTTTCTTGTGGGGGTTTACTGAAAGATTTTGTTTACAGTCTCAAACAACTGAATTAAATCAAGCAATTTCTGATAAATTTTCTGAAATTAATGTAGAAATGTGTCAAGTGCTTTGTAGAAATGTTACTGATAGGATTCAGTGTTTTATTCAACATGAAGGAGAGCATTTTGAATATATTAAATAGTTTGTCAATCATAACAAATCATATTTTGATGTGACAATATTTATAAATTTTCTTAAACTATTTTCATTAATTTTTGTTTAATAAGTTAATAAATAAAAAAGGGAGTTACTTTTGCTGCACCCTTTATATATAAAATGTACATGATGTGTACAGAAGAAACCTAAACTAGGTTTATAATTGGAGTGAAGAGGAATGAAAGTTTTATTGAGGAATAAATTGGTTTATTCATTCTAGAAGAAAGAATTCTATTTTTAGCAACATCAATATCTTAAAACCATTCATTATTGCTGCTTTTGAGAAAATCAATGAAAATAAGAAATGAAAGAATCTTTGTTGCAAAATCTGTATTAGCAATGAAGATAGTTTAAGGCTTGACGGTAAACAATTTAAAAATTAGTCTGATTAAATCAACTTTCTTTAATTGTAAATATCTAGAAAAATGGATAATTTTCATTTCTCAATAACTCTGAAAGAATTGAAGCTTTATCTTTTTTTTCTTTTGCATGTGTGAGATTTTTTTTTTTTTTTTTTTTTTTTGGGGAGAAAATGAAATTTGCAAGTTTAGTCCAAATTCCAGCAAAGGTTGTTGCAGTCACCTTTGCATTGATGCCCTTGGGAAAAGCCTGAATTTGTCTCTTCTCTCCTCCTTCACACTGATGGCTAAAATAGAGTAGACTGGGCTCTCTAGCTTTTGTAGGGCAGTTTGGGAGGACAACTTTGGAGTAAAAAAACCATGGAGAAGGCAACAGGAAACCACTATTGTTCTCGGCATCCACATTTACTGAAGGGCACAATAACTGAAATGTGATGATAAAAACAAAGGATATTAGTCCAATTGTATATAAATGTTTTTTTTTTTTTTTTAAATTTACCTTTACACTATTATACAAATTATTGAATTTTTTCTTTTCCAGAGTATGATAGTTGATCAAACAATAGAAAAAGTTTCCTTTTGTGCCCCTGATCGTAATCATGACAAAGGATTTGCCTACATTTGCAGAGATGGCACAACAAGACGATGGATTTGTCATGGCTTTATGGCCATCAAAGAATCAGTAAGTGTCAGTAAATCTTTCCATTGTTTGGCTGCTACTGCCGCCGCTGCTACTGCTTAACTTTCACCCAATAATAATTTCAAAAGCCACATTCATTCATTAATCAGTAAATGTAATTGCTACTTTTATTCACTTTTTTGAAAATTATCAATATACACAATTGTTTGAGATTCAGAACTGAACAAGTAAAAGACTTTACTTTCTCCCTGAATTTCTGGGATAAGGAGTTGTCATTATTTATATTCAAATACAGACAGAGAATATTGAATTGGTACAGACCTGATGTGATAATAACAAGGCAGATGATGATATTAGTCTGAATTTAAATAATATTAATAAGACTCTACATTTTCATCACTTACATTTAAAGATTAATTACATGCAATGGTAACATCCTTATGACCTTTTTTCAATTATTTTTCATGGTTAATTTAGTAATGTTAAATTTCTGAAAGAAATAATGCTAAAAGACAGTATCCAACTGTTCACTTTGGTTTAATGTAGATGAGAATAAAACAGAATAATTTAGGGAATTAGCCACCAAATGAGAAAACTGCTTAATTTAGAAATACTTTTTTCAGATCATATCTTGAGCTTAACAAAGCTATGACAGTAGAAAAGCTTAATTCTTGTATTTTATAATTCCTGAGGTTAGAATAATTTTAATCAGATTATTAGTTATCATGGGTTAGATATCAAAGTAACAATTCAACAAAACACCTTTTACCCATTGGTAATATATCTGTAGGCTTTTGCCTGGGGTGGACATAAACAAACAGGATGTTCTCACAGCCAGAGAATTTGAGGACACCTTCTAGGTCAACCCTTGGAGCTTTTAGATCACTTGACTTTCTGAGGTGAACACTGAGTACAAAACTAACCTGATAAGGAACTTGTGCTTAGATCATATGATAATCTACATGTGATAATCTACATGTGATAATCTACATAAGCACTGACAGAAAATATAATTGCAGTGATCTATGTATTTCAATTTAGCCAAGATTAAACATACAGTTAATATAGCTGGATTACAGTAAATAATCACATATACAGATCAATACAGGAATAAAGAGTGTATCAATATCATTCACACACCATATTCATACACTGTATATCCTGCTTGGATTTATACACAGGCCTCTACTTTTACAAGCATATGATTGTACAGATGATAGATAACCTTTTTTGATATGTTATTCCAACCCTCTTGTACTTGTTGGCACAATGCGGCAAGGTGGGCTAAATGAATGTTTTTGGCATTATCCCATCATATCCTATACTTGTTCAATGGGGGATGGATTTATTGATTATGCTGATTATTTGTTGAAAATCCTGCAGAGCATGGGCATCTTGTAGCTAGGAACTATCCCGCTAGAACTGCACATTTATTTCCTGTATCAATAGCAGGAATAGCAGCAGAATTTGTTCTGCACATAGGTGGCACTGTTTAATGTTTCTTCCACCAGATGGAAGAAACATTTGTATAAGTGAATGTACTCTCCATGTTTTTTTGCACATGCAAATAAACATTTCTTGCATTACAGTAGAACCCGCTCTCATCACTGAATTGTCTTTTGGCGTAAGTGGAAGTTTGGCTACAGACATGTCTTGTTGCAAGGAAACAATTCCTAAGAATCCATGTTGATCCTTTTGGGATCAAATTTTCTCTAATCTGTGCTGTTGATACCATGCAATCTGCGACTGCTGCCCTTACAATGTGTTAATCTTGGAGATCATATACCCTTCATGATCATCAAAAACCTGGTGTATAGGTGTCAAGAATGTTCATTTGACAACTATTGTTGACACTAAAGCCCCACTTATACATTATGTTCAAAATGTATAGAAAATCTCCAAAATGACTATCTACGGCCCCTCTCAAATGTTTCTAATTGAACAAAAGGATCATGTGTGCACCTCCTTGATGTGAGATTCTGCTTGCATTAGACTCTTTCAAAACACTTAATGTTATTGCGGTGTACTAATGTTAAGCTCAGGGATAGATGTTGTATTGGTATTAATTTTATCATAGTAACTGAAAACTTTTTAAATTTTATCAGAATATATCTATTACTAATGAGCATGTACATACTATATGCAGGTGAAAATTGGCTGGTATAATTTTATTTTCTGTCAGTGTATATGAGTGTATAAATCATGGGGACAGTAAAGAGCTTAATTTAACTTAATTTGCTATAAAGGTATTAAGAATTTAGTATTGACAGTTTGGTCAAGTTTGTTCTGAATATTAAACAAATAGCATATTGAATTCTTGCAGCTTTGGCTTTTGCTTCAAAGAGTTTTGGTGCTTTTTTTCTTTATATTCTTGCAACGCACAAATGATTGGCTTACATCCCTTTTGCTTTAAATAAATTCCTTAAGAGAAACTTCTTTTTATTGTAAGTGAATTCTAATTACACATCATTGGACTTTTCTTTTTTGCTTACCAAACAGCAAGAGAAGGAATTATGATTCAACAAGCATTATTATTTTACCTTCTTTGTATAAAAAATCCAGTTTTTAGCTGTTTATTACAAAATAAAGAATATCAGTGACAAAGCATTCATGCTCTACTCACAAGTTTTGATTATATCTAAAAAAAAAAAAAAAAATCTAAGTACAAAAGGTATTTTATATTTTACTTGATAGAATCCAATAATAGTTGATATCATTTCTGTTTGAATTTCTGGAATAAGGAGTTATTATTTACACAGTTTACAAGTAGACTATTGTTCTCATATTTGCTGCTGTTATCACAATGTGCCATTGTGCCTTCCGGACTTTATTAGGTGTATGTTGATCTGGGTAATCTATAAGAAATTACAAACTGAACCCGTTATTTAATCGATGGGGGTAGACTGTTTTTGTTCCATTGCCCATGTCTAGGGATATCTTGTCAAGTCCTTAATTCTCGTTTGCCCTGAGAGAATAGCCTAATTAAAGCATTGGTTTATGAATTTGATGGCACAGTAATTGTAAGTTCAATCTCTGGTTCAGTCTTTGTGTATTTGGACTCTGTAGAAACAGGGTGAGCAGAAACTGAGCAGTACTAAAATAAGAACTAGATGAGATATCCTTAGACATGGATAGTGGAGTGAGAACAGTTTGAGAGATTAAATAAATAGTTTATTTAGGAATTCCCTGTAGGTCACCTGTTTTGACATACGACTGAAGGCCAGAGGACACATCAGCCAAAATGAACAACAAAGATGAAGATAAGAGTCTGCTTGAAAATAGTTGATATCAATTTAATATTGGCAGGGAGTGCAATTTTTGGGGGTGCCTTTTCATGATTACATTCTTCATAGACAGAATATTTGTTAACTTATTTATGCAATAAATATGACAATATTTTTAAAAAAAAAATTTAATTTTTTATTTTGGAAACTCTTGTAATATTATTGATCTTTCAAGCATAACATTCAACACTGTCAATTCCCATTAGCAAGTGGTTGTGTGACTCTGGAGCTTTCTCCAAACATGGACTATTTTCTCATAGGAATGGCTTCTCTCTGGAGTGGATATTTGTACATTCACCTGTTACACAGATCTTCCCACATGTGCACATTCCTGGTGCAACTGGGTTGACCATGTGTTTACATGTCAGGGTCAGCCATTGACCTCCTGTAAAAGTCTACCTGTACACTAGCTAGATCATTTGTCAGGCCAATTCAGCAATTCACCAGGATTCCTTGAAAGTTCTTGAGTACAAAATATGCCCTGGCAACATCTGAGGTGAGTTACATGCTACATGCTTTGACTTAGAAGAAATCCTAGTGTATATGTTAATATACACATGTCGTATAGTGCCTTTAAATACAGATTTTTCTCTGACCCTCAAAATAGACATATCTGCTCAGTTTCATATCCTAATGTAAACAAAGCAATTTCTAAAGAAAGGGATGGATTTTTTATTTATTAATCTGAAAAATTTATTAATTAAATGTTATTTTTAGATGTTTCATTTATTCATTAAACCGCATATTTATTTACTTTCGTTTACCAGCTTGAAAATTCAAGAAATCTTATTTGAGGAAAATATGCACTCTCCAGCAGGATCCAAACTTGCATTCCCCTCAGGGAAACTATCATTAAATCTGACATGCTTTAAACCACTTGGCCACAGTGTGTGTCAATAGTCAAGCAAAGTTAAATAGTGCCTTTAAAGCATATCAAATCTAATGACAGTTTCCCCTGAGGGACTGCAGGTTTGAATCCTGCTGGGAGTGCATATTTTTCTCTAATAAAATTTCTTGAATATTCAGGCCAGTAGATGAAATATATAAATATACTGTTTAATAAAGAACATGGAGTGTCTACTCAAATACAAATATACACTAAAAATAATGTTTAAGTAATAAAATCTGTCAGATTAATAAACCAAAAAAAAAAAAGTCCATCCTGTTCTTTATAAATTGCTTTGTTTATATTAGGATATGAAACTGAGTAGATATGTCTATTTTGAGCATTAGATAGAAAATCTGTGTTTAAAGATACTATTCAACTTTCCTTGACCATCAACTCACTCTGTGACCAAGCAGTCCAAAGTGCATCACTTATACACCCACATATTTGTTAGTATATAGTTTGTAATTTTTTCAGGTATTTTTTCTTTATCTGATCATTTATTTAATTGTATCGGCTAAAGTTTTGAAGATTTTATTTTTTATCATCATAAACTTTTTTATTTTCAGTATTTTTTTTTATAAAAGTTTCCATAGTAATCTTGTATAAATGCTACAAATACTATTCTACTGTTTTATTATTTTAAATCCTGATAATTTCCATGGTTTTTCATGGTTCTTTTTATTTGTTGATAGGTTCAGACTTCTTACTTTAATTACTAGAGAACATCTTGAAGGGTAACTCTAAGGGTTTTCTATGATGAAGGAACAGTTAATGGAAAAAGGTTTTCTTTTGAATTTAATCATGGATATCAACTGAAAGATAATATCAAAATGTCATTGTGTTCTTTTGTTAGTATTTACTCCCTCCAA